GACATTTAATTTGTATTCGAATTCTCTTCGGCACTGGTAGGATCGTAACTATTCCACTCACAAGGCAGATCGATGTTTACGAAACTTAACTTTGGTATCAGACTGACAGTATGAGACAGTTGATGATAATCAAAATCAGTATCATACCAGTGGCTGGTGAAGATGGTTTGGGTTGGTTGCTTGATTTTGTTTAGTGGTATATCAAAAGCTGTATAGGTTATTTAATGCCGAAATCTAAATATTTGTTACGTAATTTCATGATTTCAACTACAGATATTTTGTAGATAATTTTGTACTCTCAGGTCAAAGGTATGTTTTTTAGATATATAGTTTGTAGATCATAAAATGTATTGTTGGTAATTTTGCTATAAAAAATGTATTTTTACATTTTTTAGCTGCATTGTCATTTTGTTATAAGAAAGTATTGTTGGTCATTTTATTATGAAAATGAAAATTTTTTTTTGGCGGGGAGGTTCACTATTTACCCATAGCAGGTACCATAATAGGTGCTATCTGGGAGCAACAGTAGTTAAGAGGTGGTTCCACTCTCCTAAAAGCCTCCAATGTCACGATCAGAGATATTGCTGCCGGATGTAGTTTATCGTCATGCCCAGGACGAAAGATTGCTTGGGAAGAATTGCTCCCCAATAATGTGATCTTTCGATAGCTTAGTATAACCTAGCAAAAGACAATAAGGTTTTTGTGTCTTGCTACAATTATTAATGATCTGTGAAAGGAACTTGTTAACCATCGCGTTACACGAACTGTCGGCACGGACAGCTGTAACACTACGAAATGATGCAAAGTCGACAGACATACAAGAGTGTTCTGAAAGTAATTATGTTTTATCCGAAAGCACATCAAACCAAATGTAAGTAAGATTAATTAAAATAGTATTTATTAAAAATAGAATCAACTTCATTCTGAAGAACCTTAGGTGAACTATTCGATTACAAGTTTAAAGAAAGGTCTCCCCCGAAAAAAGTTTAGGAGACTGTATTAAACTTTATTTTTAAATGTTCGCTCACTTCTAGAACGTCCTAGAGATCGAAACAAATGAAAATGTGCAAGTGCTAAATTCGGTGAGTATATTGGATTGGGAAGAACTCGTGCGCAGACAGGATGTCGAAGTATAAAGTGTCGGAGGATAAAGTGATGTAAGACAAAATGACGAATGGACAAAATGTCGAATGGACAAAGTGTCGAAGGGACTAAGTAACAAACGAACAAAATATCGGATGGACAAAGTGCCAAAGAGAAAAAATTCTCGAACGGACAAAGTGTCGAAAGACAGAATGACGAATGAACAAAGTGCCGAATAGAAAACGTGTCGAACAGACTAACTATCGAACGAACAAAGTGCCGAAAGCACAAAGCGTCGAATGGACAAAGCGTCGAACGAACAAAGGATCGAATGGACAAAGTGTCGAAAGCACAAAGCGCCGAATAGACAAAGCGTCGAATGGACAAAGCGTCGAATGGACAAAGTGTCGAACGAACAAAGGATCGAATGGACAAAGTGTCGAATGGACAAAGTGCCGAAAGCACAAAGGGGCGAATGGACAAAGCGTCGAATGGACAAAGTGTCGAATGGACAACGTGTCGAATGGACAAAGTGTCGAATGGACAAAGTGCCGAAAGCACAAAGCGTCGAATGGACAAAGCGTCGAACGAACAAAGGATCGAATGGACAAAGTGTCGAATGGACAAAGTGTCGAAAGCACAAAGCGGCGAATGGACAAAGCGTCGAATGGACAAAGTGTAGAATGGACAACGTGTCGAATGGACAAAGTGTCGAATGGACAAAGTGCCGAAAGCACAAAGCGTCGAATGGACAAAGCGTCGAATGGACAAAGTGTCGAATGGACGAAGTGCCGAACACACAAAGTGTCGAACAATGTGTCAAATGGACAAAGTATCGAACAAACCAATTGTCAAACACACGAAGTATCGAATGGACAATGTGTCGAATGGACATAGTGTCGAATGGACACTGTCGAACACAAAAAGTGTCGAATGAACAAAGTGAAAAACATAAAAAGTGTCGAATGGACAAAGTGTCGAACAAACAAAATGTCGAATGGACAAAATGTTGAATGGGAAAAGTACCAAACAGAAAAAGTTTCAAACGGAGTAAATATGGAAGGAACAAAGTGTCGAATGGACAATGTACTGAACGAAAAAAAATCATTGTCTTGTTGCTCAAAATAAGATTTTATCGTTAGTATATTGCATTACCGACAAGAAAGATGAGAAAAACTTTTAATACAATTGTAATTTGCTATAAATAAACATTCTAACGCTTTACTGTAGCTAGAATGCTGATCCTTTTTTAAAAAAATATCAATTATGTAGAGGGTTTTGTATTAATTTAAAATTTGAAAATATTCATTAAGCAGCATGATACATGCATGCTAAGTGAAAAGGTATTCTATTGTAGAAACATTTCTGGCCTTTCTTCAACTAGTCCGTTCGACACTGCCTGTTCGACATTTTGTACATTCGTCATTTTGACTTTCGACACTCTAACATAGTACCGAAGAGCATCCCATACCAAGGGTCTTGTTTATTTTGTTCACTTTATTTTGTAGAATGTATCCTTGGATTATCAAACTGGGGAATAATATATTTTCTCTTTTCTAAAGCAAGATATTTTCGACGTAATTCTTCAATCAAGATGCCGTAAAAAAAGGACTGTAGTGATGCTGCTCCCTTGTTCCAATCGCGACACCTTTCAAATTCCACCAGACACAAATCAAAGGATGTTACGTGGATGGAGTCCTCCTTGTTGGTGATGGCATCGGTTTCTCACTTTTGGATACCGACTGCCTTTTTCGATTTCTGTTGATATGCAAAACCCATTTTTCATCATACGATGCAAAAATGAAACTTTGATCTTCTGGGTAAAAGACTGTTGCAGATGATCGAACGTCGTGTTCGGTTATAAACCGAAAGCTCATTAAGAACCCGAAGTCCTTCTTTGTAAGTTTTCCCCAATTAAACTCTGAAATGTACTAAAAGACGACACACTGTCAGAGAGAAGAGATATGATATTACTAGACGCAGTTTCTTATCAGTCAACCTTGGTTCTGTCTTGGTTAATTCATCGTTCTTAGCGGTGAAATACGTGATTACTTTTCAAACACCCTAATACTGACACACGCGTACGCACGCATGCACACACACACACAGACATATAAAAACACACAAAAAACTCTGTAGCTCCAAAAGTAATGCATCCTATTTTATTATTCCAGCCCACGGACTCAGAGGCGGATGCTGATAGCATGGCTATAGAGAATCAACTTTTCCACCACCAATCCATATTTTGTTTGTCTTGTTACAGACAGTAACCTGACAAAATGGCGTCTGACATGAAGAGTGCATACGAAATATAAATGTGTCACTGAATTTCTCTATGCGGAACTAAAATTCATTAACGCTCATTGATTCGTTTTTTACGGCTTATCAACCCCCTTGTCGGTTATTTAAAGCCACAAAATATTTATAAATTGTAAAAAAAAATTAGGTGTGGGGAGATAATAATGATTTAGTGATACAAGTCTTGCTAATTAAGGTTATTGAGCTCATTACATTAAGAGAGTGTTTCCAAAAATGTGAGCGCTGATTATGAGTATAATCATTTGTATTTCCGATAGTGAGGAGGTTCATGGGATTTTCATGATATATGCATTTCAGTTATAAAGTCCTTCCTGAAGGTAGTTGTTAGTGGCCAGTCCACCGAGGCCCGGGCAATCAACACAGTAGTCCCTCTTTTTACTTTACATAAATGATACTCCGATCATTTGTGAATGTCGATGCTGATGATACAATAGTATAAGGATAAACCTGCAAAACTCTAGACGAACAGAGATTAACAGCTGATCTCTCCTATGACTAAGCTGGGTGAGAAAATGGCTGGTTGCTTTCAATATCTTGAAAAATTACTTAATTGCATCATTTAATTTAATTTCGTATCCCGTTGATTGGCAAATGGAACTGTAAAATGTACAACCTCCACCCATTGGTAATCTAAGTGCCTTAGTTCACACGTGAGGTCCTTATTATCTCTATCTATAAAAGGCAAGATGTGTGTGTGTGTGTGTGTGTGTGTGTGTGTGTAACGAATGCACGGCCGCAATTTTCGACGGATTTGCACCGGAATTTACACGCACACGCTCCAAGTTAGCGGGAAGGCCAAGACCGACTTTGCATTTCCCAACTCCCATCGATACTGGAAATAATCGATTTTTCATGCTTCTACGGCAGTTTTCAGTTTGAGGCCATTTTCTACTGGCCAAAGTGAGAGCCAATAGCTGGCTGCCACGAATAGACAAGAAGATTCTAATGGCCAGCGTGAGAGCCAACAGCTGACTGACACGAATGTTAACTAGCATGCTAGCATGCAAAAAACATCAATAGCTGCATTCGTCACAAGTGGGAAAAATTTAAATCTGCGTGGCACTTTATTCCAATTGGCTCATTCGCTTGCTTAAACTCAACGTTGATTCTGATTCCGCAGAACTGGGTTTGGGTGTGAAAAAGTATTTGTTGTTAACATTCTTTTTTCATTCGGTTTTTCCAGTTACGAGTCCTTTTTTTAAAGCTGATCGTTTTGTGTTCATTTTGTTTAGTTCTTTTTTCGTAATAGATTTAATGTTTAGTATAGAGCTTAGAAAAAATTCGCAGTGTGAGATAGTCAAGAAGTAAGGCATGTAGCAACATCAGCACGGCAAAGGGCACTCGTTTAAAGGCAAGGAAGGGCAAAAATATTTTAAGTCAAGTGATAGTGATTGCTGTATGAGTCGTACGATTTTTGAATCAAGCACGGACAACGCTGTAAGTAAATACATAATAGTGAATATTATCTACCAGAAGTATATTATGCCTTATAGCTTGGATGTAAGTAATAGCAAAAGTCTCCGAGCTTCCAACATACGGCTACAAACCCAATCCCGTTTGCGCTGTTTTGACTGATTATTTTAAAATGTTTTCGGCTCACGGCCACATCATGTCGAAACACCGGTTTCCGTATGATCACCGAAGTTAAGCAACGTCTTACCTGGTCAGTACCTAGATGGGTGAACGCTGGGGAATCCAAGGTACTGTAAGTTTGGATGGACGGGTGGTGTAATAGAACTTTTAATAGCGAAGCAGAGTTCCAGTCATGTTCGTTATATTCGCTTACACGAAAAGCAAATACTCTTTGACAAGGTAAGAATCCACCTTTTCTCCACCCAGCTATGGGTTAATTAGTAATACTTGTATCACTAAATCATTTATTATTTAAAAAAAAGAACTTACAGTTAAAAATGTCTCTGGTTTTAAATAACCTACAAAAGTTTGAAAATCCGTAGAAAATGAATGAATTTTTTAGTTATTACAGTTTTCTCCTTCAGACCGATTCAATGCTGTATTCCAATTGTCAAACGGAAGAAATTTTCCAAAAGTATTCCATATTTCTATTCAGGTCTTTATTTAAGACATTGGAAATTTATTTCTATTTGAATCTATATTTTCTGTTGTTGAGAATCTTTCATGCCTGGAACTAAAAAAATATTCATTGTCCCTCTCACCTGTTCCAAAATACTACTTGAGGAAATTATCGTCCGGGTATATTTTGACGCCAGATTTATAAAATGAAAAAAAAAACTTTGATATTCAAAATACGACATCAACAAAGAAAATTAAAATATCAAAGTATATCACCGTTATTTAAAGTAATGCCCATTCTTTTAAATTTATATCGTTTTCTTTGTTATGCGAAAAGAAAAATGGCGTAGTGTCTCCTAAAAATAATAAAAAGTAAATATTTGATAATATATTAAATGAAATAATGGTCGTTTTCAGCTACAATTTACGTGGTGGGACCGAAGTATGCGCAAAACAAATTTAGTAAGAACTTTTGCTGCTATCCTTTGTAAACCTTTAACACTTAACGAGACTAATTCAAATATAACTAGGTAAGTAGTTCCCTTTTTGTGTTCACATAGCGGTCCGGAATGGCAAATCGGGAGACGAGTTTGAATTCCGGTCGAATTCGTTACATTCACTTACCTTACCTTTGGGAAAGATATAAATCCATCTCTTCCCCACCCCACAGATATGAGTTAAATATTAGGGCTTGTATCTGGAAAAAAAAACGTTGTTATCACACAAAAATTCTTAATGTAATATTTAGTAAAAAACTTCTTACAATCTCACATCTATTTCGGCTTTAAATGACCTGAAAAGGGCTGATAAACCGTAAAAAAAACAAAAACAAATACAAGTTAATCAATTATGATCAAATCTCTCGTAGACTAAATTTACAAAAAAAACAAAACAAAAAAAAACAGAGCGCTTTTTTCGGAGTGGGTGGAGATAGAAATTTAATGTGTGGGGTCAGACAAACAATGTCTAAGAACGGAGAAAGTAACGACAGACCACTGCTTGCAGCGACTGCGTTTGATAAATAGCTCGAGCCACAACCAGGTGTTGCTTGCGTAACAAGCGATAGTACGCTGCCTTCGTTGCTCCACCCATAAAGACGAGGATTGGCAAGCAAGGATAGACGGGCGTGTCGTTAGAGACAAACACTCGCCGACTATGTCAGTTGATCCGACTCACATTTGTTCCTCTTTCCTATATATTCGATTCGCTGAAGGTCTACGTGTGTGAGCATGCGTGTGAGCATGCGTGTGAGTATGGCGGGCGACGTCTGCATACGCTTGTCCGTGGGAGTGAGTTTTGTATGCGATAAAGGGTCGGAAAAGCGTGGCCTGTTTTATATGGTGACATTATTGTGAGTATGGTTAAGCGGGATATGCTCAGATGTTTGCAACTTTAGAAACAAAACCAACAAATCTGTTGTTGTTATTATGCTCGCTATTAAAATATTCATCTTCACTTGTTCATATAGCGTTTCGGTCAATATGTTCTTCAGGATTCAAATGTCAGCTTTTACAGACAATATTCCAGAGGGTGGTCGAAGGACACATCGGGTGAATATTCTTCTTCTTCTTCTTCTTCTTCTTCTTCTTCTTCTTCTTCTATATGCCGTGTCCGTTCAGGACGTTGGTAATCATGGGTCTCCATAATTTCCTGTCAATTGTACCTCTTAATAACTTTTGTCTTTTTACTATCTCTTCCTGTCCCGAACCCCGGCGGGGTGGTCATCGTCCCAGGCAATATCTCTTCTTCGGTATGGGGCTGGGTTTATTGCTCCTTCAGTAGGGGTCCGGGTTTATTGAGGCGTCTCTAAAAGGACAGTGGGGACTAAAGAAAATTTTTCACGGTATTGGCGTTAAACTTTAATCGGACCCTATGCTATTCGGTAACGACCTTAGCGCATTGAAAAATACACATACACATACTCCATCATCTATTAACTCAAGTTCACCAGGTAGGTTATACCTTGCTTTCCTCTGTTTCACTTAGCTTCAATCTGTCCTGTGAGTATCAAATTTTCCAAGCATTCTTTCCTAACTCAATAAAACCATGTTCTTGAAGTATACACGTATGGTAATGATAATAGTGAAATTAACTGTTTCCTTATAAAGAAACATTTGGCATTCCCTGACCGAACAGTGAGAATTAATATCAGTTGACTTTTATACAAACTTTTTCTGAAAAACCTTCACTTGTTTAAATAATATTTTGGTCAATATGTTCTTCAGGATTCTCATGGCAACTTGTAAAAACAATACTAGAGATGGTGACTGAAAAAGATATTTGATTCTTTTTCTACGTGCCGTTTCTCTTCAGGACGTTGGTGATCATGTCTTTCCACAACTTCCAGTCGTTTGCAGCTCGGAATAAATTTTGTTTTTTTGTTATTTCTCGTAAACCTTGATCCGCCATCCATTATCTTATTAAAATTCCGCTGAATTATTACTCGTCTTCAAATTAGCCATTTCATCTCCATACATAATAAAAGCTATTACTCAATCTAATCGATGCTTCAGTCACTTTCTCACCAACTTGACATGGCTTCCCTTTGTCCTTTCTACAAATATTTTCATGGCAACTACTCTGACGAGCTTTTTTTCTCCTGGTGCCCAGACTACATGAATTTAAAGGTGCTACTGGATTGGCGTCTAGGTCCCACCCTTTTACTGTTCAAATAGCTAGATGCAACCGCAACTTCTACTCCAACAGCTTCTTTTCTCGTACTTCCCGCCTATGGAACACCCATTCTTTTACTTGCTTCCGTAATAACTACAATCTTTAAAAATTTAAAAGCGATGACAATCGCCATCTTCTGTCTTCTTGAATCCCGTTCATCTTTTGTCCTTTCTTCAATTTTCCTTATACTATATCTTTCACTTTCACTCCTTTGTAGCATTCTCGCCTTGCTTGGGGTGAAATGATTAAAAAAATTAATGGCAACTAATACCAAAAGCCATATAAGACTCCACCTCAATTTTAGCAGTGGGTACATTTTTAAGAGGTGTTAGATGATTTATCGAATATCACTGGATATTCATGCATGTTACCTCGTCGGCATTTTTCCAAATAAGTTTATTTTCTTGAATTTATCAAAAGTATAACTTCTAAAACTTGCAGAAAAAAATCCTATGGAGCAACAAATAGAATAATTTTGTCGAACTGAGAAAGAGAACAGGTAATGGAAAGGCCTTAGAACCCAACCGAGACTGGCTGAGCTCTCCGTGGATTGGAAGTGGAAAGATGTTAGACGAAGCCGTGAGATTTCTAAGATAATCACCTTCTCAAGAGACAGAATAGATTGTGAAGAAAAAAAAAAGAGGAAAGAACAGAATTGGAAGAAAAATATGAACAAAAAAGAGTGTGACACTAAATGCTAATTGGGATAGCGAAAGGTGCATTGGGATCCAAATGCTCCAAAAAAGCAAAGTATTAAGAAACAGTAAAATATCTGGGAAGTGTTTTAACAGAGGACGGAAAGTACGACACTGAAATACGAAGAAGAAATATGCATTGGGATAGCGAAAAAGATGACCTTCAAAAGCTCCAAAAGCAAGCTATTAAGAAACAGTAAAATACCTGGGAAGTGTTTTAACAGAGGACGGAAAGTACGACACTGAAATACGAAGAAGCATTGTAATAGCGAAATATGCCTTCCAAAAGCTAAGCAAAGTATTAAGAAACAGAAAATATCTGGAAGTGTTTTAACAGAGGACGGAAGTACGACACTGAAATACGAAAAGGTGCATTGGGATAGAAACAGTAAAAAGATGCCTTGAAAAAGCATTGGGATAAGGAAAGATGCAAAAGCTATTAAGAAACAGTAAAATACCTGGGAAGTGTTTTAACAGAGGACGGAAAGTGCGACACTGAAATACGAAGGAGAATTGGGATAGCGAAAGATGCCTTCCAAAAGCAAACTAATAAAAAACAAGTAAATTTCGTTAGAAATATCGAAAAGAGTACAGAATTTTATGTAATATCCAATTTGACAAAGAATGCTGGAAAATCTCCGTACAGTTGAAGAAGAGACTGGAAGAGACAGAAATGTGGTTTTACAGAAGGATACTGAGAATGCCAAGGGTTGAACATGAGAGCAACGAGGAAGTTTGAGAGAAATTGGAAATAAGAAGCACACTCATAATTAAAATCAGAAAGGTAGTGCTTGGGGCGAAAGGGTTTAAAAACTCTTTTCGTCACATCTAGAAGTGAATTGTTACACATCCTTGCCTACGTAACAATGAAGATCATTGAACGTGGGACATGGGTTATTTGTACAGTTTGAGATTAACTCTCGAAAACAGTTTTTATAGTTGGACTATGAAATTTTGAAATCCATATTGTAACCGTTAGGTCAGTTATGTCTTGCTTTCTTCTGTCCTTCCTGCCCTCAATCTCTCCTGTGGGTATCAATTTTTCGAAGCCTTCTTTCTTCATTATGTACCCAAGACATTTTAAGTTTACTTTTTCCCTGTAACATGTTACTCGCATGTTCGGTCCTTGGTATTCTCAGCGTCCTTCTGTAGAACCAGATGTCTGCTGCTTCAAACTCTTCTTCAACTGCGAGGAGACTGTTCAGCATTCATTAGCGTATAGAAGGAATGAAATTACGTAACAGTTCAGTACTCTTTTCGTTGTTTCTAACGATTTCTTTCCGTTTCTTAATACTTTGCTTAGCTTTTGG